CACTTTTATCATAATGAATATTAGAATTATGAGGTCCAAAGTGTTTAAGTGACTTAACCAAGTTCTGCAGGTGGTTATTGGCAGAGCTGGACTCTAAACGATCTCACCCAGGCCCTGACCAGCACTTTTTCTATGCCCTGGGATGTCTATCTTTACAGAGCTCAAATTGCACTCAATCTAGTTGGGTAGAAAACCTTATGTATGAGTTAATTAAAGAATGATGAAGCCTATGGTCAAGTACACATGGAGTAAAACCAGGTTTCACAGAGCAGGTTATACAGAGCAGACAGGAAATGTTGTTGGTCCAGTCCTTCCTTGACATCCCCACGTTTGACTGGCAGTGGCTATAAATCTCTGCACCACACCAGCAGGCAGTTAGTCATTAGCTTCAGAAGCCCAGCGTGACATCCTGGACAGACACCTGACAAATCATTTAACCCTCTCTCGACAACTTATTTCCCTAATTTGCAAAAAGGATGTAATACCATCATTAGCTAAGAAGCACATTTTGTTATATACATGTTTTTGATATTTTATATTTATTAGAATAGTATAATCGTTTGCTCGTTTATGCCCTTCCATAGTGTATAATTAGAAACATGTCTTTTATACCTGTTTATTATCCAGAAAGAGGTGACAGATACCAATTGTGAAAATTCTATTTTCTTCCTTGACAGTGTAGTTTAGGTCTCCATTCCCTTTCACCAGGACTCCGGAATCGACCTACCAACTGACTTCCCCACCTCTGGAGTCTTGGTCCCCTTATGCACATTCTGTATGCTGTCGTTATATTAACATTCCTCAGATTCAACAATTATTTTATCACCCCGCTACTCAGAAAATGTCATGGTTTCCACAGATCACTCACTTACCTCCTACCTCCAAACTTAACGTACGTACTCTTTTGCTTAGAAACCCTCTCCTATCTCCTTCTGGGCCTCTTTACATCCCAACCATCCTTGAAGGCTCAGCTTAAGCACCCACCCTTCCTGGAGTATAACCCTTTTTCTGATCCCGCAAGCCAGTGGGATCTATTACTCCTTTGAACTTTCCTAACACATTCTTTTCATTTTCCCTATGAGATTTAACACATTCAGTCTTGCATTAGATATTCAGGTATTATTTTATTATTCTGCTAGGTTGTAAACCCTGTGGGGACAGAGATACTACATACCCTTTTAGCATCTCAAGTTTAAGGCCAATATTGTACATGAAAGTCAGGGTGGTGCAGCAGGAAAAGCACAGGTTTCGAGGTCAGACATCTTTGAATTTTAATCCTGGCTCTCTCTCTTTCTTGCCTTTCTGTGATCCAGGACAAGTGATTTAACCTCACTCCAGGGCTTAGTTCTCCTCAGCTAGAAAATGTACCTTTCCTGAAAAGATTGTTTTGAGGCTTAAGTTAGATATAATAAAGTGCTTCTCAAAACATGGCCCCCTAGGTACTCAGAAAAGCCTGCTGAAAGTACACCTTTTGAGTTCTTAGTTACTTGTCAAGGCTCTTCCTGTTCTTCAGATTAGAGGCACTGAGAATACCCAACCCATTGCAAGGATACTTTGACCTCTGCACTCAGATATAAGGCTTTCTCTTTGGCTGTCACAGTATCACTGAATCAGAATCCACGCCAATAAGCTGACATTCATGCCAAACATACATACAGACAGCACCGGGTGATGTTTCCTTACAAGACTCTTTTCAAGAAGGCAGAATGTGGATGCTCTTTTTTAGATTATAGCTACAGTGTACTAAATGGATCACAGGAAGTAAATAGACAGGCAAGTTAAGGAACATTTCTGTGGGCTTAATTATTTTTTTATTCTCTCTGAGAAGTAGACACACCACATGCACGCATGTATTTTTCTTCCTTCACCTGTTCTGGCTCCCTTGACATTGTAAAAATATAAGCAAGGTAAAAGATATTTTCCAGGGTAGAACATGATAAAGTGTTAAATGGAAGAGCAGCTGGATGTTCACCAATAGGTGGAAGCCCTCAGACTTCTCTCAGTGGAGTCAAGTCCATCTCACTCACATCTTGCTCTGTTTTTCCTTCCAAGAGGGAGGGAGTGGGGTCATGCAGCTTCCACGGCGCTCCATCCGGCGGAAGCCTCAACCCCATCTTGAAACTTGTGAAGAAAATCTAAATCGAGACCCATGATACTGATTAGCCTTATCCTCTTTTTTAGTTAACGAGAGATGCCAATCTCTAAGCTCCATGATGGCACAAACATTAAGCACCTATTATATGCCATGTTGCTAAAAGGGATAATGGGTGGTCCATGCCGATATTAGAGCAATCCCCTCCACACCCCATGGCCTATTTCAGACATAGAATATTATGAAATCAAAGGGGAGATTATGTAAATAAATTTAATATAAAAAGCAAATTTGGGAACGACTAGCAAAATTATTAATTAGAACTCCCTTTACACTTATTGTCAAGCCTAACCATTTGTTTTTGAAGTAAAGGCCTTCCTCCATAGAGCCTGTCATTGAGAAATGTGTCTGAATTTCAGAAAGTATATGTGAATTTCAAAGCTTTCTATTTCTTAGCAGTGACTATTTCTATATAACAATAGTTGCGATTAAGGTTTAGCCATTGCTATTAATCAAACAACTAAATGTTTATTTTAGAAATTGCTGTGTCCTCTCATGCCTTTTCTTGATTCCATAGTTTTATTATGGCTTCATAATTCACCCAGTTTCCCAAGCAGCCGTCCTGGGAATTATCCCATACTCCTCCTTTTCCATTATTACCACACTCAAGAAGTCAGTACATTTTCTCAATTCTAACTCCTAAACAGCGGTCACCAGGCTCCTTTCTATCCCTTGAATTTAGACCACACCCCCATCTTCTTTTATTTAAATGAACCCCACTGGCCTCCACGGTTTTACTGATGATATTCTTTAACTGCCACCCCTACCCACTCCAAGCTTACCCTCCTGACAGGTGGTGTGTCTAGCTTATAAGTGCAAATTTGATGACAGCATTCCTATACTTCGTTGGTTCTCCTTTGACTAACAATCAATTCCATTTGACCAATGCTTACTGACTGCCTCCTGGTGTCAGGGATTGTATTAGATACTAGCAGTATAAACCCAAAAGTCCCCAATGATAGTGGAGTGTGATAAGTCCTTTAATAGCTTATAAACTTGGGAATCGACTGAACTCAAATTCATATTCCTTAAAGAAACCTGCCTACCCTTCATGACCTGACCTTAAGTCTCCCCTCTTTTCCCCATGTATTATATACTACATCATATCAAGTTATCAGAAATCCAGTCACATTTTATGTACTCTTACCTTTTTTTTTTTTTTTTTTTTTGGTACGCGGGCCTCTCACTGTTGTGGCCTCTCCCGTTGAGGAGCACAGGCTCCGGACGCGCAGGCTCAGCGGCCATGGCTCACGGGCCCAGCCGCTCCGCGGCATGTGGGATCTTCCCAGACTGGGGCACGAACCCGTGTCCCCTGAACCCGTGTCTCAACCACTGCGCCACCAGGGAAGCCCTGTTCTCTTACCTTTATAAATGCTGTTCCCTCTGCCTAGAATGCCTCCATCCCTGTCAGTTGGGTAAATCCTACTTGTCCTTTTAACATTCTTCCATAACATTTAACAGGCATCACATTTACTGAGGCCCTTTTACTCCCTTGAACCTCTTATCCCTCAGCTGGGTTACATACCTACTTTGTGCAGGCATATCAATTTAGGAATAACTCTAGCAAAGGACTTATCAGACTGTATTGAAATTAATCTGTCAGCCTTACTCTCTAGAGCTGTTTCAGGGTAGGGACCATGTCATTCATTTAAGTGCCTTTCTTACCCAGCACAATTCTTAGCAATAGCAGACTCCCAGTAATCATTTGCTGAAAGAATGAAAGTCCCTGGTTCATGATTTTCCTAATTATCCTTTCTTCTTATGGATATGAGCCTCTATTTAATTTATTTATATATCCACTTCTATGGGCTTAAAACTCTCAAACTAATGCCTCAATACAGAAATATATGCATCTATTGCTCCCACCTTGTGTAATCTTTCAAAAGAACAGATTATTTGCGCTTATATAGTTACATCACTGATTTTACACAGAATTGTTTTCCAAGATTGATAGATGTTATTTATTCATTTGAAAATATTTATTAAGCTACTCCTGTAAACAGGATATCCAAGACATAAAAAAGTACAGAGAATCACATCTCCCACAAGGGTCAGCTCTGAAAATCATGTGTTGTCAAAGTTATTTTTAACAGTCCCTTAAATCAGAGGTCGGCAAATTCTTCTATATAAATATTTTCTGCTGTGTGAACCATATGGTCTCTGTCACAGCTACTTGTCTCTGCTGTTGTAGTGTGGAAGCAGAGACAGTATGTAAATGAAGGGGTGTGGCTATTCCAGTACAATTTTATCTACAAAAATTATGGCTCAGGGACCATAGTTTGAGGACCCTGCCTTACATTAGAAGGTGGAACAAATAGTAAAGTAGAGATGTATGCAGGGTGCTGAGGTGATTTGGAGTAAGGAGAAATCACACGTTTCTCAGGGCAAGAAATTGGGAATGGGTGGCCTAGAAAGATGAATTTGCAGTTCAGGACTAATTCCAAAATACAGGTGAGTGGAAGCTCTCAGGATCAGACAAAGTTAGAAAAGCCCAGGGAGTATTTTGTCTGGTCATTTAAGAAAAGTTTCAGACCAAAACGTGGAGGTATTTTTGTTAAAAGCATCTAGGAATGTTGCAACCTTGGTGACAATTTACCATTACAAAAAGAGAAAAGATGAAAGGTATGTTATAAAAAAAATTAAAATAAATATGTCCTTCCGATGTAGATGATTTTTATTGTCAGTATTCTTTTAAGGTCCGAGTTCATTACTGATTATTTTTGATACCCTTACCATATAAATTCAAAAATAAAATGTGTTAAATGCGACACTGAAATATGCTCTCATTGGTCTTTTATTTACAGAACTTACCTGATATTTCTTTCCCTTTTTTTTTTTTTAATTCTAGCACCAATAGCTGCAGGAACTGGCCCAAATTTTTCTCTCTCAGATTTAGAAAGTTCTTCATACTACAGCATGAGTCCGGGAGCAATGAGGAGGTCGTTACCCAGCACATCCTCTACCAGGTAATTTGATTGATGGCTCATAAAGAGGTCATAATTCATAGTTACATACCTTGATTTTAACTCTGGGCCTGCTAGACACTTAGCAGTGTGTCTGTAGTAGTAGAAGGTACTAGAAATGGGTTCAGCCCCAGTGGATTTTCAGTCTCACTGGTGAGAGAAAGCAAATGCATATGCAGCATGCATATATGTGTATACACACACAGACGACACACACACACACGAGTCAGTGAAAAATTGTGTGGCATAGGCTGAAAATAGTTAAAGACAGCTTTATCCAAAAAGAGTGACTTGTGCTCAGCTATAAAGTGTAAGCACTGGTCGGGGTTGGTGAGATGGAAAGTAAAGGAATGGTGTTCTGGTGGGGTGGAGACACGAGCAAAGGCATGGAAGAAGGATGGATGATGAACATAGCAGGTTCTCAGGAAGTTAAGGACAAGCCTTGACTAGGGAAAAGGGGGTGTGTTTGGGCTTGTTTGGCAGAAAGCTGACACTGGTGACATCAGTCCCAGTCTCCATGCCCACAACAGACATTACAGCTCAGTCCCAGCTCTTTTCCTACTGAGCCCCGACAGGTCTCAAAATCCAGTCTACTGGAGTTGCTCTGTGAGATGCAACCTATTTGGTATCCTGATGTGAGGATGTAAAAGCAAATGCAGTCCCCCAGCAGTGTGAGGCCAGATCATAAACACTGTTACACCGGGAGACCTTTAAAAGAGCAAAGCTAAAAGAACATAACCAGATAACAATTCTGGGGTTCTTGATTCCCTTGAGGTCACAAAGCCAAAATCAAAATGAAGCATTTTGCAAGATCCTGTTGTCTCTAGATAACCTGTACCAGAGGGAAAGGGATTAGGCATTTAAACCCACAGTATTCTTTTACAAATTGGCTTTAGCACTGGACTGTGACAACAAAGAAAAGAATGGTGCAGAACCACCTTTAATGTTTGTGTACTTCGCAGGAAAACGTTTGACAAAGGTATATTCCTCCTAAAGCAAGTACCAGAGTTTTAGGATCTAAAACAATGGCCAGGTGATAGAAATTTTCCATGGTAGAGATTCATTCTTACCTTGACTTCTAACCATATTTTAAACATATATTTAATCATTACTTAAAAAAAAAATCAGCTTAGTCATTACCAATACCTTGAAGACAGTTAAAGAAACAGTTATTCCTTAAATATAACCACCAGATTCTACCATCATCTTTCTTGCTGTTTAAATGTCCCCCTCAGTTCACTGGGGTATCAGCTCCTCAGGAAAAAAAAAGTCTCCAATCCGAAAAAAACACTTATAATAAAAGAATGAGCTTGTGAACACATTTGGATGTTAATACATCTTGAGGATCTTGAATGTTTGCTGATGGAAGAGACATTGGGTGTAACTACACTCAGTGAACATGAAAGAGCTTTGCAAATACTTGTGGTCAGTGATTAATTTAAAAGTTGATGGGCTATTTGTTTTTCATACGTGTGCTGTGTATGTACCATGGACATCCCAAATATCCTTCAACTTCTCCAGCTGTTTTGTTGCCTCTTGCTGTGATTCTCTGTGTGGAAACCTGGTTATTAATGTTGTTTAAAAGGCTAGTGTTGTTCCTATAATCTGCAAATAACTAACCCTGATAAGGTGCTAATTATAAACAGCATCAGTAGTTAATAACTTGGTAATATGTTTGTTTTGCTCACATTAGGCTCTCCTAAGATGATTCTTTTAAAATTATTCTTTAACTATATAGACTCAGCAGAATTATCTGTGTACAGGTGAGAAAGTGTGCCCAGAAGAATGCCCCAGATTTACATATAGAAAAGTTCATCAACCGATCAATATTTGTTCATGCTGTGCCACTATTAATTGGTCACCTGCTCTGTGGCAGGCACTGTATTAGGTGCTTTACATCCCTGATATGAGTTAATCTTCACAGTAATTTTACAATATAGACAGTGTTGCCATTTAACAGTGGGTCAGCCTAGAGCTCAGAGAAGTTAAGTAACTTGCCCAAGGTGACAGACCAAGTAAATGGCAGAGTCTACATTCAAACTCAGGTCTGTTGGAAGTTTAAAACCATGCTCTTTTCACACTGAATCCTCTTAGGAATGAGGCTCTCTCTTTTAGTAAGGAGCAATAGAATGGGAAGCCCCCAGAAAGGAATATCCAGCATCTCTACTTTTCCTGGACACTTAGCATTTACTATTTTAAATTATTATTATCATCTTTGAGGTATGTACAGGTCCTGCTTCCCCATCTGGACTGTAAATCCCTCAGAGAACAGTGTCTAAGTCTTCTAAATCAGCAACAAACATTTATTAGGTCCCAAGGATATCGTCCTAGGCACTGTGGATATAAAGTCAAGTACAGGAGCTTTGCAATCTCGAGGTAGAGACTAACAAATGAATGGAGATTGTCAGTTCAGGGCACTAGGAACGCTCAGGAAGGATGTGTTTTGCTGTTTTGTGGGGACAGGGTAAAGCTTCTAGGCTCTGTACGTAGTAGGAACTAAGCAAATATTTGGAATGAAGGTAGTAGTCTTACCTTAATTTCTAGGTAGAATTGATAGGAACAAAACAAATTCCACACGCAAGAGAGACTGCTTGGAAGAGTATTTATCCTCCCTCTTACATAGAGATCTTACTGGTCCTTTCCAGGGTTCCTCAGATGTTTCTGGGAGAGTAGAATCAGTGTGTTAGAAAGTCAAGAGCAAGAAACCAAAATTAATGACTGATTCACTTCTAAATTAAAAAAAATAAAGAAGACTGATAAGCATTAACTGTAGGTTCTGTACCCCTTCATAGTAAACATCTGAAAACTCATAGAGGGTCCTGTAAAAATTGGGGGAGTGTATACTGTTTTTACTCCCAAAGAACTTCATCAAGATAAAACAACTGTCAAGTTTGTGAAGTCAGTAGACTTTGTCTTGGAAGCCCTCCGCTCGTCCTTCCTGGCACTTCTAATTTCCTCCCCTCCTGCATCCTGTTCTCTCCTCCAACCTGTGTCTCCACTTCCAAGCATTTATCCTGTATCAACCCTTGACAGTCCTTGCTTTCAAGCTAAGGGGTCAGCTAATATCTACAGATTCTTTCACCTTTAGGATTTATTAACTGCGTGAGTATTTGCGTTTTATTAGAGGACACCAAGGAAATCAAAAGCTTTAGAAACTCAGAAAAGTATTAATAGTGGCAGAATAATGGGCAGTGAAGTTGGCCTTTTGGGTGGGATCTCACTGAGTCGTGACACTTGGGCGAATCCTTGTCACAAGTACTCATATGACTGTTTCTAAATCTGTAGCCAAAAAATAAATAAATAAATCTGTAGCCCAATTCAGCAGTTTTTGAGCATCTGTTATTAGTCAGAGATACTGTGGTAGGCACTAGAGATTTAAAAAAACAAAACAAAAAACAAAAAACCTGACAGTCTCCTTCCCCACAGATCTCACAGTTTTATCAGAATATGCATGTCTTACCTTTTATTTGCCAAGGAACATAAGGAAAATATTTGTTTCCAATTTGTATTCTTCCAACTTCCAAAATGATTTCAAGCGGTTTTCAATTTAAAAACACCACAGATCGTATTAAATATAGAGAGGACAGAAACCATATGGAAAGATAGGAGAGATTATTATATCAGGAACGTGAACCCAGATTATGCCTTACGTTTAGCCCTGAAATTCGTGGTTGCCAAGGCAAGAAGGGGAAACGCTAGGTTATATAATGTGCATTTTCTAATAAAAGGAAACAGTAGAAATTCATTTAAAGAGACCATATTTTTTCTGGTTTTATGCATTAGGAGGAATTTTTGTGTGTATATCCTTTTATAAAGGACTTCTATTAGATGCAGTTTTACATAAAATACAGAAAAGTTCTTTGAGTGGCTCTTTTTCATTGAACTTCAAGGAAAGCCAAGCAAAGAACATTAAATAAGCTACTGAAGGTTTTTCCTTTGGGTACTAAGCTAGCATGCTACAGATATGTTGCTTTCCTGTGGTCTGGCTTTAATGAAAATAGAACTTAAAGACTAAGAATCCTGGAATGCCAAATTTAATAACTAGAAATTCGTACCTTGAACTGGGTCCTCTGCATTTTTTTACTCAGGTTGCTGCAGTAGCCTCTTAACTCTCTCCCTGGGGAAGGTTCCGTCCCCTTCTTTTCCCTTTGCTTTTCAGAAGCCATCATCTGTGCAACTACCAGAGTGACCTTTCTAACAGATGACTCTGATGTCACTCCCTGTTTAGACTTTTTCAGGGAGTCTCCATTGCTTATAGGATGAAGTCTAGACATACAATATCTTCTATCACCCCTATCCCCTTCTTTTGCTCTGCCCTTCCTACTACTTCAGCCATAGCAAACACCTGCCAATTCTCTGCATGTGTCACCCTCTGCTCATGGTGTTGCTAGTGCCTGATATGCACCTCCCTCCTGGAGTGATGTTCAAAATAGCAGATAACCTGTGTGACTCAAGCATACCAGTTAGGACAGACCTGCCCTGCCACAGTGTGAAGTCCTGGAATGCCCCCCTGATGTGCCAAACCTTAACCCTTTAGGTTTGGGATCATGAGTCTGTTCTGGCGCAAAGATGGGATGACAAGGTTGGGGGAAATGTATGGGGCGTGGGACAATGGCACTTCGCCAACTGGTAAAGAAGTATTTCAGTATTTTAAAATCCAGAATGGCTGCCTGAGGGGTGCACCAGCTGAATAACAGCCTGTCTCTGCCCTGTCCTTCTTTCTGCCCCCTCTCCGGACACTCTCTTACAGACAGTTCGGGAACCATCTCCTATGGGAGGCCTTTCCTGACGTTCCCTGTGTATCACTTTCCCTAACTCCTTCAAAGAACCCACTATAACCTCTGTGTGGTTCCATCATCATACCTGTATTTCTCTTTGCACAATTTTGTTTACCTCTCTGTCTTCATCCATGAGATTCTAAATCCCATGGAGACAGGGGTTATGTCTGATTTATTTCAATATAGCAGCATTTAGCACAGCACCTGGCATGCAGGAGGTGCACAATACGTGTTTGATGAATGAACACATATTAAAAATTCTGTACCCTGACACAGGAGGAAGAGATTTCCCAACAAGCACTTGCACCAGGTATGAAATCTACCAATTCTGGTACGTTAGTGACGTAATCAGTTAACACAATGAGAACAACATTAGCAACATGTAGCATTTCACTACCTTTTAACTCCTGAAGTCTCAAATAGGGAGGAAAAAAAATTCAGCCCTTTAACTGGTAGAAAATATTCTGGAAATGTCCCAACCATACCTATGCAAAACTAAAACATCCCCACCCTGATGGCATAGAATTTCATTTTGGTAATTTTGTTGTAGAGAAAGTGCATAAAAGTCACTGGGTCACTCTTTTTTCCATGTCCCTTATTCACACAAGGAAGTGTACTCCTTCCTTCTTTTTTTTTCGGTACGCGGGCCTCTCACTGTTGTGGCCTCTCCCGTTGCAGAGCACGGGCTCCGGACGCGCAGGCTCAGCGGCCATGGCTCACGGGCCCAGCTGCTCTGCGGCATGTGGGATCTTCCCGGACCGGGGCACGAACCCGTGTCCCCTTGCGTCGGCAGGCAGACTCTCAACCACTGTGCCACCGGGGAAGCCCATTCCTTCTCTTTTTATCTTGTTTGTTCACTGTTTTATCTCTAGTGCCTAGATCAGTACCTGGACTGCTGACACTGTGCAATAAGTATTTTTTAAATGAACAGATCTAAATGGAAGATGAGAAAACATGGCAAAAAAAACAAACAGCAATCCGAGCTTTTCTTCAAGCGTCATGCACCCTGATTTTTCTCCTTTCTGGGGTGCCAGGAGGGATTGAATTGATGTCTAGGGACATTGCTGACGGCTACGCCCCAGCCACTGCTCTAGGAGATGCAAATGTGAGCTTACCTGTGAATCTTCCAGGTGGAGACAGGAGCGGGAGCCAGCCACCCGTTCCTCAAAGGAAAAAGGAACAGGAGGCGGGGGGCAGCAGAAACTTGAGTGACAATAAAAATCAAACCCAGACACTTGGAACAACACAGACCCAAGACTTTGTTCCACATCCAGTGACTCACTAAACTGAACAAGAGCCTAAAGAGAGACCATGAACTACACTGAGTTACCCAACTGCTTCCTCCCTTGCCTTTCTTTCCACCAGAGATGCCATGTCCAGGAGAAAGGTGCTTTGGATGACTTTTAAACATGTGTCCGTTTGTTATTTCAGCTCCACAAAGCGCCTCAAGTCTGTGGAGGATGAAATGGACAGTCCTGGTGAAGAGCCATTTTACACAGGCCAAGGGCGCTCCCCGGGGAGCGGAAGTCAGTCCAGCGGGTGGCATGAAGTGGAGCCAGGTAAGCGGGCTGGGCATTGGGCTTGCAGCTGCCCCTGTAAAGTCCAGGATGCGTGGGAGTCCACGCCAGGCATAAAGGGAACACAGCAAGCTCAGAGCAATGGACTTTTTCCACGTGAACACGTGTTTGTACCTGACTGCTGCTTTTATGAAAGGGTGGTAGCACAAGGATGCCATTTAACTGAGAAGAGAGACTGAGAATGGTGTGTAGGGTTTTCTACTCTTACATCTTTTCACCTACACTGCAATCCAGCGTTCCATTTGCCTTCGCTTTCATTTTATGCTAATTGCCTTTTGGGTCTGGTTTTATCTTTTAATAATCAAAATAAAAATCTATCAACTTTTTCAACTACGTTGATAACATTAGAAAGGTAGGATGGGTTCCCTGTGTGATAGCTTGTACTTGGATCTTTATAAAATGAGGAGACTTTTAAATATGTTTTCCTGTTACTGGATTTCATCATGATTCTTTTTCTATTTAAAAGGAACAGCTATCTTTATGCCCCTCTTTCATGGACTAAGCAAATGATGACTGCTAGTTTAACCTCCTGGGGTAGTTCAGTCTTGGCTCTGGAGCCTTGAGTAATGTGACTAATTCTGATAGCAGAAGCTTTTTGAAACTTTGTTCAGTGTCTAACCTCCACATGGGCGAGGGAAAATCTTCTCCAGTGGCTTCCTCGATATGCAAAGTCAAATGCTGTAGAGAATAGAGTGGGCTTTGGAAAAAGACAGGCAGAGTGTAATCCTGACTCCAGCTCCTGCTGGCTGTGTGATTATGGGCAAATTACCTAACCTCTCTGAAACTAATTGTCCCCATTTTTATAATCTGTCAATAATAATAGCTATGTCAGTGCTCTTGAGAATTAAATGAGGTAATATACATAACCTGTCTGTGAATCACACCTCGTACAGTAAGTTTGAAAAAATTTCCCCAACCCGTGCCTCAGAGTAATTCCCTGCAAAAACAGACAAGCCGCCAAGAAAATCTCTGAACCCCTTCATCTTCAAATCTTAACTTTTTTCTCTCCTCTCTAACATATCAAAAGAGAATCCTCAGAAGGGTGTGACTAAAAAGGAAATAGCACAAGGGAGATTTGGGGGATGATGGAACTCTTCTGTATCCTGTTTGTGGTGGTGATGGACAGGAATCTATACATGTGTTAACATTCATAGAAAAGTATGCCTTCGACTCCTGAACCCCCAGGCAGTTTTGCTATATGATAATTAAAAGCAAAACAAAACCTCAGGCCCCACTGTCTGATTCCTTTATCTTGCTCACTTTACTAAAATGCAGAAATTTCACTTTGCCTTACTTCTACCTAATCTTTTCACCCAACTCATTCATTCATTCACTCACACCTTCACTGGGAAATTTTCTCATGATGAGGAACTATGGCTGGTTCTGGGAACTCAAGGATGAATGGGAAGACTATGGCTCCTGCTTTCAAGGAATTCACAGTGGGGGTGTGGAAGAGACACATGAGAAGATCTTTAGGGGAGATTGGTTCAAGATGGCGGAGTAGAAGAACGTGCGCTCACTCCCTCTTGTGAGAGCACCAGATTCACAACTAACTGCTGAACAATCATGAACAGGAAGACACTGGAACTCACCAAAGAAGATACCCCATACCCAAAGACAAAGGAGAAGCTGCAATGAGATGGTCGGAGGGGCGCAATCACAATAAAATCCAATCCCATAACCTCTGGGTGGGTGACTCACAAACTGGAGAACAGTTATGCCACAGAAGTCCACCCACTGGAGTGAAGGTTCTGAGCCCCATGTAAGGCTTCCCAGCCTGGGGGTCCGGCAATGGGAGAAGGAATTCCCAGAGAATCAGACTTTGAAGACTAGCGGGATTTGACTGCAGGACTTTGACAGGACTGGGGGGAACAGAGACTCCATTCTTGGAGGGTACACACAAAGTAGTGTGTGCATCAGGACCCAGGGGGAAGGAGCAGTGACCCCATAGGAGACTGAAGCAGACCTACCTGCTAATGTTGGAGGGTCTCCTGCAGAGGCGGGGGGTGGCTGTGGCTCACCATGGGGGCAAGGACACTGGCAGCAGAAGTTCTGGGAAGTACTACTTGGTGTGAGTCCTCCCAGAGCCTGTCATTAGCCCCACCAAAGAGCCCAGGTAGGCTCCAGTGTTGGGTTGCTTCAGACCAAACAACCAACAGGGAGGGAACCCAGCCTCACCCATCAACAGTCAAATGGATTAAAGTTTTACTGAGCTCTGCCCACCAGAGCAGCACCCAGCTCTACCCACCACCAGCCCCTCCCATCAGGAAGCTTGCAGACGCCTCTTAGCTAGCCTCATCCATCAGAGGGCAGACAGCAGAAGCAAGAAGAACTACAGTCCTGCAGCCTGTGGAACAAAAACCACATTCACAGAAAGACAGACAAAATGAAAAGGGAGAGGGCTATGTACCAGAGAACAAGGTAAACTCCAGAAAAACAATTAAATGAAGTGGAGATAGGCAACCTTCCAGAAAAAGAATTCAGAATAATGATAGTGAAGACGATCCAGGACCTTGGAAAAAGAATGGAGGCAAAGATCAAGAAGATGCAAGAAATGTTTAACCAAGACCTAGAAGAATTAAGGAACAAACACCTAGAATAATTAAAGAACAAACAAACAGAGATGAACAATACAATAAACTGAAATGAAAAATACACTAGAAGGAATCAATAGCAGAACAACTGAGGCAGAAGAAAGGATAAGTGACCTGAAAGACAGAATGGTGGAATTCACTGCTGCAGAACAGAATAAAGAAAAAAGAGTGAAAAGAAGTGAACACAGCCTAAGAGACCTCTGGGAAAACATTAAACACACCATTTGCATTATAGGGGTCCCAAAAGAAGAGAGAGAGAAAGGACCCGAGAAAATATTTGAAGAGATTATCACTGAAAATTCCCAAACATGGGAAAGGAAATAGCCACCCAAGTCCAGGAAGCGCAGAGAGTCCCAGGCAGGATAAACCCAAGGAGAAACATGCTGATATGTGTAGTAATCAAATTGACAAAAATTAAAGACAAAGAAAAATTATTAAAAGCAACAAGGAAAAAATGACAAATAACATACAAGGGAACTCCCATAAAGTTAACAGCTGATTTCTCAGCAGAAACTCTGCAAGCCAGAAGGGAGTGGCACCATATATTTAAAGTCATGAAAGGGAAGAACCTACAACCAAGATTACTCTACCTGGCAAGGATCTCATTCAGATTTGACAGAGAAATCAAAAGCTTTACAGACAAGCAAAAGCTAAGAGAATTCAGTGCCACCAAACCAGCTATATAACAAATGCTAAAGGAACTTCTCTAAGTGGAAAACACAAGAGAAGAAAAGGACCTACAAAAACAAATTCAAAACAATTAAGAAAATGGTAATAGGGATTTCCCTGGTGGCACAGTGGATAAGACTGCGCTCCCAATGCAGGGGGCCCGGGTTCCATCCCTGGTCAGGGAACTAAATCCCACATGCATGCCACAGCTAAGAGTTTCCATTGCACAACTAAGGAGCCCTGGAGCCATAACTAAGGAGCCCTGGAGCTGCAACTAAGACCTGGCTCAGCCAAATAAATTAAATAAATAAATATTAAAAAAAAAAAAAAGAAAATGGTAATAGGAACATACATATTGATAATTACCTTAAATGTGAATGGATTAAATGATCCAACAAAAAGACGCAGGCTCACTGAATGGATACAAAAATAAGACCCATATATATGCTGTCTAAAAGAGACCCACTTCAGACCTAGGGACACATACAGACTGAAAGTGAGGGGATGGATAAAGATACTCCATGCAAATGGAAATCAAAAGAAAGCTGAAGTAGCAATACTCATAGCAGGTAAAATAGATTTTAAAATAAAGAATGTTACAAGAGACAAGAAAGGATGCTACATAATGATCAAGGGATCAATCCAAAAAGAAGATATAACAATTATAAATATATACGCACCCAACATAGGAGCACCTCAATATATAAGGCAAATGCTAACAGCCATAAATGGTGAAATCGACAGTAACACAATAATAGTGGGGGACTTTAACACCTCACTTACGCCAATGGACAGATCATCCAGACAGAAAATTAATAAGCAAACACAAGCTTTAAATGATACATTAAACAAGTTGGACTTAATTGATATTTATAGGATATTCAATCCAAAAACAACAGAATACACATTTTTCTCAAGTGCTCATGGAACATTCTCCAGGATAGATCACATCTTGGGTTACAAATCAAGCCTCAGTAAATTTAAGGAAATTGAAATCATATCAAGAATCTTTTCTGACCACAATGCTATGAGATTAAAAATAAATTACAGGGGAAAAGTGTAAAAAACACAAACACATGGAGGCTAAACACTATGTTACTAAATAACCAAGAGATCACTGAAGAAATCAAAGAGGAAATCAAAAAATATCTAGAGACAAATGACAACGAAAACACAGCGATCCAAAACCTATGGGATGCAGCAAAAGCAGTTCTAAGAGGGAAGTTTATGTAAATACAAGCCTACCTCAAGAAACAAGAAAAATCTCAAATAAACAATCTAACCTTACACCTAAAGGAACTAGAGAAAGAAGAACAAACAAAACCCAAAGTTAGTAGAAGGAAAGAAATCATAAAGATCAGAGCAGAAATAAATGAAATAGAAACAAAGGAAACAAGAGCAAAGATCAATAAAACTAAAAGCTGGTTCTTTGAGAATATAAACAAAATTGATAAACCATTAGCCAGACTCATCAAGAAAAAGAGGGAGAGGACTCAAATCAATAAAATTAGAAGTGAAAAAGGAGAAGTTACAACAGACACCACAGAAATACAAAGCACCCTAAGAGACTACTACAAGCAACTCTATGCCAATAAAATGGACAACCTGGAAGAAATGGACAAATTCTTAGAAAGTTATAACCTTCCAAGACTGAAACAGGAAGAAACAGAAAATATGAACAGACCAATCGTAAGTAACGAAATTGAAACTGTGATTAAA